AGGCAAAGAGAGAAATGTGAGAACGAGAACAGCAGGGAACGATCCCAAGACTCGCGTTTGGCAAGAGACGGCCACGCTCCAGGCTGGGTTATTTCTGCAAGCGAGGTGAGCGGACCTGGGCTTGGAGGAGGAAGGGGGATCCCGGGGGGATCCCGGGGGGATCACCCGTGCCAGCACAGCCTCACCGACCGCAGCGGCGCCGCTCAGAGCGCGGGGAGCCGCTGTCCGTGCCCGGCCCGTACCTTCATCGCCTGGTTCCTGCCGCTGCCCGGGGAGCTGCGGATGGCGGTGTGGAAGGCCCGCAGCGCCTCGCCTGTGCGGCGGCGGGTCAAGGACTCAAACCGGGACCTGCGTGCGCGGGCACCGACCGGCAGCGCGGCCCGCGGCCGGCTCGGGCCCCGAGCGGGCATCGCGGCCGGTCCCCGGGACTGCCCCGGCCCCCGGGACTCCCCCGCCCAAAGGATATTGCCTGAGCAGCGCTTCCACCTCGGGGCTGGCATCGGGCTCGGCCGCCGCCGCCTCCTCGGGCTCCTCCACGAAGCGGTTCTCGTCGTACTGGTCGATGTCGAGGCGGCGGAAGCGGGACGAGAGCGTGCTCCGCGCCATCCCCGCCGCCCCGGCCCCGCGCCAGCCGGAAACGGCGCCGGCCCCGGCGGAAGCGGAACCCGCGCGGCCGCCGCGCCCCGCCCCGCCCCGCGCCGCCAGTGAAAACACAACAGAGCCTGGGAAAAATCCGAACAATGACTTTAATGTACAAATCCCGTCGCTGCAGCGGGTTCGCGGGTTTAATCGGGATCCCGAGGAAAACGGAACAAACCGGGAACGGGGAACAGCCCTTCGAGCGCTTGACTGGGATCCACGGAACACTCGGAAAAGGCTGGCTCGGTCCTGCCCGGGAACGCAGCACGGGCAGCCCCGGCCCCGCCGCACACCGGGCACTGACTTTGCTGCTGAAATTTCTTAAAACTTACCAAAAACAAGAAGCTGATCAAGAGACGGGCCCGAGCGGCTCCCGGAGCGCGGTGGTTAAAGGAATGGGTTCATCTAACCCAGCACTACATGCAGTAGTACAAATCTCAAGGACATATTACAAATACTCTGAAATTAATCTAGGGGCAGGGGGGGAAAAAAAAAAAAACTTGCTACAGACACCATAATACACAATAAATTTAGATAATTTAAAAATAAAAAAGGCAAGAGGCAGCATTTCAGCAGCAAAGTGCTCAATAAAAAGTATATTGTAAAGGGGCAGGACAGGGAGAGGTGACAGCAGGCGGGCGAGGGCTCAGAGGAAGTACGGCGTGGTTGTCCTGGGAGGAATGACTCGCTCTGAGTCTGGGACTGCACGGAATAACTTTGGTTCTCGTGTATTTACATCTTTGAAGACCATGATGGACGCGATGTTCCCGCAGCGGTAGCAGTAGTTGGGGGCTGACCACACCGTTACCAGCTTCTCGTCGAACATGAATTTGTATCCTTCGTGGACCAGCTGGTGCGCTCTGCAGATCAGCTTCAGGTTGTTGATGTGAACGAACTGCAAGGCAAGGGGGGAGGGAGGTCAGCGTGGGCTGCGCTGCTCCTGGCCTGCCCAGCGGGACACAGGACGGGGCTGGAGCAGTGAGGAACGCTGTGGAATACCCTGAGCAACAGCCAGGCAGCAGGGCTGTGCTGTGCCCTCGCTCAAGCCTTCCTAACACCACAACGCAGGCCGAGCGTGGCCAGGTCACAGCCTGCCAAGGCCACTGCCTAGAGCCCTGAGGAGTCTGAGCAGTGCAGACACAACAAAATTAACTCAAGGATTGCTTAAAGAATTGTATTTTTCTCCTAGATCCTTTGGAAACCACTCCACACAGAGTCCAGGGACACTAGTGAGTCCCACCACATCACACTTGTCAAAAGCAAGATGGGTATTAGTACATCTGGCAGTTACATTTGTGCTTTTAGGTTCAAGTGGCTCATTTTTTCCAGCTGGCACAAGCCAAGCTTCCCCACCTGGCAGAGGTATGACAGGGGAGCTCAGTGTCCTGCAGTGCCCTCGGTGCACTCAAACACCACGCTGAGCTGAGCCCCTCAGCTCCCCCATCCCCAGCCTGGGCTGTGGGGCCCTGGGCAGCAGTGGGGCTCTGAGCAGCAGTGGGACCCTGGGCAGCAGTGGGCCCTGGGCAGCAGTGGGCCCTGGGCCGGGGCCCTGGGCAGTAGCAGGGCCCTGGGCAGCAGTGGAGCCCTGGGGGGCCTGGGCAGCAGCAGTGGGACCCTGGGGGCTCTGATCAGCAGTGGGACCCTGGGCAGCAGCAGTGGGCCCTGGGGGCTCTGGGCAGCAGTGGGACCCTGGGCAGCAATGGGACCCTGGGCAGCAGCAGTGGGCCCTGGGGGCTCTGGGCAGCTGTGGGACCCTGGGCAGCAGTGGGCTCTGGGCAGCAGCAGTGGGACCCTGGGGGCTCTGGGCAGCAGCAGTGGGCCCTGGGCAGCAGCAGTGGGCCCTGGGCAGCAGCAGTGGGACCCTGGGGGCTCTGGGCAGCAGTGGGACCCTGGGCAGCAATGGGACCCTGGGCAGCAGCAGTGGGCCCTGGGGGCTCTGGGCAGCAGTGGGACCCTGGGCAGCAATGGGACCCTGGGCAGCAGCAGTGGGCCCTGGGGGCTCTGGGCAGCTGTGGGACCCTGGGCAGCAGTGGGCTCTGGGCAGCAGCAGTGGGCCCTGGGGGCTCTGGGCAGCTGTGGGACCCTGGGCAGCAGTGGGCTCTGGGCAGCAGCAGTGGGACCCTGGGGGCTCTGGGCAGCAGCAGTGGGCCCTAGGCAGCAGCAGTGGGCCCTGGGGGCCCTGGCAGCAGCAGTGGGCCCCGGGCAGCGTTACCTCGTTGGTGACCTTGGCCCCGAAGAGCCAGCCCGCCCCGCGGGGGCTGATGGCCCACGTGTCCACGTCCTCCGGGTCCGACCACACCAGGTCGCAGAAGGCGCCTTTGTGAGGGATCTCCTGGTTACGCTCGATGGTCCGGATCTGGTCCAGGGTCTTGATGTCTGGGGAGAGGCCCCCGTGCACACACAGGATCTGCTCGTCTATTAACTGCAGGGAAGGAGGGCACAGAGCGCTCAGCACGGCTGCCAGGGGAGCCTCAGCTCAGCAGCCCTGCAGCTGCCCTGTGCACAAGCTGCTGGTGCTGTTCCCGTGCTGCTGGCACTTACAGCTGCTATTGTGAGCATGTCAAAGACTTTGGTGCAGTATCTCCAGGCGTTCGCGTTCCCGTATTTGGTTTGGCACTCGTCTGTGGGAGAGAACGGATTTATTCCTCGTGGAACAGAGAGGACAGGCAGAGCAAAGCCTGAGAGCAGAGCCTGCACACCCAGCTGTGCCACAGGAGCCCTGCCAGCAGCAGCAGGGGCCGAGCACCTCCCGCTCTGCCCGTGCCTGAGCGCGGCACCACGACACAAGCAGAAAGCCCACGTGCCAGAGGAAGAGAGCAGCAGGGTCTGCCTTAAACACGTTCCATTTCAGAAACACAACGGCCACGTTGCCAAACGACAGCCCACGTGTCCCACCCAGCCCGGGCACCGTGGGACCCGAGGCAGGGGAGCTGCAGCACAGCGTGGCACAGGGGCACTCACCGTAGAACCCGTACACCTGGGTGATCTGCCTGCTCTCGTGGTTGCCTCGCAGCAGCGTGATGCGGTCAGGCCACTTGGCTTTCAGTGCAAGGAGGAACGTGAAGGTCTCCAGGCTGTAATACCCTCGGTCTACAAAGTCCCCCTGGAGGCAGAGACGCACGGAGCACAGTCACCGAGAAAGTGCAGTGACACACCGGCTCTCAGCCGCTCACCGCCACAAAGAAACCCGGCGCCGGAGGGCAGCGGCCCTGCCGGGACCCGCGGCGGCTCCGGCTGTCAGCTGTGGGCTGGGCACTCCCCTCACCGCTGTCCTGACGCGACCCCGGGACACCGGGCAGGGCAGGGCGCTGTGCCTCACCCCGCGGGGCTCCCGGCAGGTCCCGGCGGGCCGGAGCCAACAGCGGCCCCGGGACTCGGGAGCCCCTCGGGCTTTCGGCCCCAGCCCCCGTCAAACCCAGCGGGGCACCTACCATGAAGATGTAGTTGGTGTCGGGGACCTGCCCGCCGGTCCGGAACAGCTCGCACAGGTCGTAGAACTGCGGGGGGAGAGAGGCGTGAGGGGCACCGGGCATCGGCACCGACTCCGGCCCGGGGCTGCACCGGGGGCGGCCCGGCCCGGCCTTACCTGCCCGTGGATGTCCCCGCAGACGGTGACGGGCGTAGAGACGGGCTGGACGTTGGACTCCTCCAGCAGCAGGTCACAGACATAGTCACAGAGGCGCTGCGGGACGGAGCGGGGCAGGGTCGGGGTCAGCGCCGGGACCGCCGGCACCGCCCGCTCCGGCCCGCCCGGCAGCGCCCGCGCCGGCCCCTGCCCGCCCCGGCCGGTCCCGGCCCCGCCGCCGCGGCCGCACCTTGAGGTCGTTCTCGGGCAGGTACTTGCAGAGCCGCGCGATCTCCACGTACTTGTCCAGGTCCAGCGGCGCCATCTTGGCACGGGCTCGGCCAGAAGCGGGCCCCCCCCGCCACTTCCGGGCCGCGGAGCGCGCCGCCGGCGCGGGCGGAAGCGCACGGCACTTCCGGCGGCACTTCCGGCCGGGCGGCCCGGCAGCGGCCCCACCA